AACGATGTTTTTGTTCGCCTTCTGCTAGCGATTTGCAAACAAGAGGGTGGACAAACCTTCGATCAATTCGCCCAGAAGCTGAAATCCCCAGCTAAAAACTGGCATTTTAAAGCAGATAAGGCACAGAAATACCGTGGTGACGCTATTAGAGATGCTTCTAACTCTGGCCTTTCGTCAAATAAGATTTGGCAGAGACCGTAGGGGCAGAAAATTTGAACTTTCGAACTGCCTTTGATCAAGCAAGGTTTTTGAAATAGACAGAGAGAGTCTTTATCTGACAGAACTTTCCCACGACCTCATTTACTGCTGCTACGGAGGTGTGTGAAACTCCACACAGTCCTGCTGAAATCCCTGACATAGTAGCTTACATTTCATCCTACAAGTGTTTCGTTTCCGGGTACGACAATCACTCTCGTTTGAAGTGTCCCGCATGCCACGTGTTATGCTAAAGATGTGGCAAAAAGGGTGTGTTCCCAAAAGGTTTGTATGGCATCACAAAACCGAAATGCCCTTTTCACCACTCATCCTACCATTTGCACCATAGCACTGGTAACTGCTCTTGATTACCGTTCATGCGTAGTGGTTGAACTACAGATCAATGGGACTAATTTGCAGGTCTTAATAGACACTGATAGTCCTGAGAGTTAAGTGTCATTTTCAGTAGTAATCACAAATAATTGGAAAATGTTTCACTGTCGCAGAAAAATAGCCATGGCCACCACTGCTCTTACCAGCGCCAAGCAAGGACATGTTTTGTCTCGATTAAATATAGAGGTGCTGTTTACGAGGAGTTCAAGCTACCGGTCTTGCTGGACTGATGCGCCCATATTCTACTCGGCTTCCAGATGCTTCTTCCGGGTCCGTAATTAAGAATAGGAAACCTATTAAAATAACGACATGACCACGGCGTGCGGCTTCGGAAAAAAATCCAGGAACCTACCAGCAGCGTCTACATCTTCTTTATCGAGTTCATAAAGGATTTTGATATGGTACGCTGTTATGGACGTGGGGAAATTGTTGTGAAATTTTGGTGTTCCGGAGGGCAAGCGCTGATGGTAAACGATATTTGTGAAGACATGACAAGCAATATGGACAACGGATCAAAATGGGAAAACTCTGTTGTGACAAACTGAGTGATTTAAGATTGCATACTCGACCTGTACGTACTCAGCCTTATAAGAAAGTGCAACGCTATTCGGCGCCTGGGGTGAAAAACTAAAAAACGACATTAATTACCTATATTTTTAAACAAGGACAGCCTTCGGCTGAAAATTTATGCTTACATTATTTTATAAATGAGGAAGAGGGGATGTCGAGCACAAGGTCAAATTGTTTAATTCTTAGAACGACTTGACACACAGGAGCCTGGAAATTGCAGGCCCCGGAATCGATCATCAGCTTTCGTTTATTTAGAGGAACCCCGTTTACATGATTTAAAACTAAATACTGTTCCTTTTCATGCCGAAAAGGGGGAGAAGAAGCATTATAAGGACATATTTGGGGTATCCTTCAGATGCCTCCGAATCAACAGACTTAGGAAACTCAACACAGGATCAGCAGGCATCATAAACAAACGTTAATAGTCCAGCATTAACCCTTGGTGCTAGCAAGACGAAGCAAGAATGTAGGACTGAGGTAGAAATAACCAACGCTAAGAAAGTCCAACACCTTTCGCGTCATCGCATCTAGTACATTCAGACCTCCATGGATTGTGTAGCATTGACTGTCTATCATGACTCTAATCTTGAATACTTCAGGTATACGGAACTGAATAGATTCCACACACCCATAGTGACCGTTTCATACCCTGCACACCTTCAGAATCTGAATTCCCGCACATATTGCGAAATGCATGTTGGAAGAATTCGCACACTCTTACTTCAACACGTTTTTAGCGCTATGGGCAAATCCTTCGAATGCCAGATTCATTTTAACTAGGTTGATAAACTCTCTAACAAACCTTAAATCCCTTGTACAATCTAACGGGTATGACCATCGCGACGTCAAATTTCATCTAAACATGCCAGCGAACTATATGCGTTCATATGCGTCTCGTATGTACTATGTACCTTTCCGCCCATTTTTTGTCACATAATGCACAATATAAAACACATAAGCTCAACAATTAACCCTTACTTTCGGAATTTTTATATGATCCATCTTCCCAGGCCTCACACGAGCCCGCCGACCAATCAATTTCATGGAAGCCAAATCTCGAGGTTGGCTAAACTTTTTTAAAGTGTTGCATCAAATACAGATTCGGTTAACACTGAATACTCAATGGCTATGACGGCTACGTGTATTCAGAGTCCCTGTTTCCCGATTAGTATAAGTCAGCATATATTAAGAAGACGAGCAAAACCGTTAAAATCAGTTTTTACAGATAAACGCTGTTGAAATATGCATACGTTTGCATAGTGACAAGGTCCAATATATCAGTCATCGATATCGAGTAAAATTTAATCATTCCTTTTTTGAAATGACTCGACACTTTTAGCCAGGACAGCCGAACTAGATAATGTTTTATTTCCTAAGCCACTTGGTCTGGGAAGTCTTTGAATCGGCACTTTGAGTTGGCTTATTCAGTTATTATTGGTGGCCTCGGAGAATTGACGATTGTGCCAATTCAAAATCGACCAGTTTAAAAGCACAGTTTACTTATCTTACGAGTCTGAAGTTGATGATCATATTTATTTTGCATTGCTTTTAAGAAAGAGCAATCTTTTTGGACTTTTCTCTTTGAGTTTTTTTTTTCACTGACTGATTGCTGCTCACTTTTCACCTTCAATCATGTAAACAACCGCTGTTTGAAGTTTTCTACTGTATTAGTGAATTTTTCTGTGAGTATGTCAGTAATAGGAAACTCAAAGGCATTTGTCTATAGTTCCCTCAATAAAACTGGTCTGAACTTCACTAATTCACTGTTGTTGCCGCTTCTCTCTTCGGAAAAGTTAAGTGCGATTCGTACCTACTAGGCTTTTGACCTAGCGTGTTTTAACTTTACTTACAATTGGACTGGGATAATTTCTCCTCTATGAACAACACGGCAAGTCATCATGACTTTATGCCGACCCGAAATTTGTGTCAACCAGATTTCTGTGAACTACTTTTCTGAATCCCTCGTTTCTCATTTGCTTTCGCAGAGACTAAAGAAATTAAGGAAGCACCTTAAATATCAAGCCAATAGTTTGTTATCCGTTTATCTAAGGATCATGGGGATTTTGGGGTAAGTCTCTAATATCTGCCATGCACTTGAATGAACGAGAGAAATGTGCGCATTTTGCGAGCTAAATCCCGCAATATCAACTGTCCCATCGTCGGTCCTCCTCCAAAAAAGTTCACAAAATCTATTAATCGTTCAAAGGAGATAAAACGCCGTTCTCAAAGACGCTGACAAGGTTAAATAGTTTGTTGCATTCTTTGGACAATATCTTTATACGGCATCTGAACCGGTTCCGATAGTGTGATCAGTACCATTGCCTTATCCTTAGAAGTGTTGCGTTCAAGGATGAACTATCTACTATAACCACAAACACTAAGAATGTTCCATATGATGGGAGGAGGCAATCGGATATTTGGACCAATTTGCTGGGTACACAAGGTGTGTGTGTGTCTGACCATCGGTTTCGATGAGGTCAACCAAGTGCACCAATAGGTTGGTGCAGGAGGTGATGGCCTCAGGGTTTAGTTTAAAGTGAAAGAGGACGTAGTTAGCGGCTCCGCAGTCTACATCTTCTCCCGGAGTCTCGAAGACTAAACGGGGTCCGGCGTGGGTTGCTGTATCAAATGCAAGTCAATACACCACCTAATTTTGTCTTAAAGTGACAGTAGACTTTGCGT